GTGTTCACAGCAGTGTTACATGGCAGACTGATGCAATAGGCTTGCAGAATTGTGACCCTGCACTCCCCCCTTTCAAGGCAGTTACAACAATAACAGTCTGGGAACTTTCTGATAAGACGTCGTACACATAATTTTGGTTAATATTGGTCTACTGTAACTCCTATTTTACATGCATTTGAAAGAGAAACTTAGTGGTATTCCTTAAAATGGTTTATCATACAAAAGATTACAATATAACATGAAATATGAATCTCACCCCCGCCAACCACCCATCCTCAAAGAATTTTATTTGAAACAATTCACACTATACATGAAGGTTAAACCAAATTATGATATTTTACAATTCCAGGACCATAAGAGGTCATTTATTGGCCTTAGTTTTGTGACCAGATGAAGTAAAGAAGCTGCTATTCTACGGTAAGGTAATGATAAAGTTGTCCAATGCTTAAATAATTAAACAAATAAGCACCACACCATGAAGATGTATGGGAAGAGTGGAGGTACAGTTCCACCATTCTAAACCTTGGCACTAGATGAAGGTGAGCAGTGAGCACCAGGTGCTTTACACTGTGGAAAGAGGCCCCATTATTCACTGGATAGGAGGGTGGGTGGGTCCCCAGAGCCAACCTGGATTTTGTAAGGTAAAGCTGACCCTGTGCCTAACTAATTAAGCACTATGCCATGAAGTCATATGGGGGAGTGGATGTATAGCTCCACCATTCTTGACCTCAGCACTGGATGGAGGTGAGCAGTCAGCACCATGTGCTTTACCCCTGGGGAAAGAGGCCCATTGCACCCATTGGATAGGATGGTGGGTGGGACCCAGAGCCAATCTGGATGCTGTAGAGTGTGAAAAATCTTTTGCCCCTGCTGGGAATCAAAACCTGGCTGTCCAGCCCATAATCTGTCATTATACAGACTAAGCTGAGTTTGTAGTACAAAAGTTGATGAATAACATATAATACATATTTCAGTGAAATATGAAACTTGTAGTGACCCCTTTTCTGGGCCACTACAGACTGTGTCACTTACTCCTTGACTCTATTATCCTCTATCAAACTTAGCCTCCTTTTACAACAGTTGCCCATTCTTCTCTCATCTGGCATCCAATGATAGGTTTCTTGACACATATAATTTTACAAGGTTGTCAGCCTAATGCCCAATTCCCAACCTGTGGAACTAGGGGCTACCTTTCAACTGGCCCCTACCCTTTGACCTGTCTAGCATGGGTAACCTACCAAGAACTTATGCTCCCACTGGCACAGCTCTCCAGATGAGCAGGACATGCAAATCTCCCTATCACATTTAGGTAGCAGACCAGCAGGAGGCCATAAGTGTCACTTACCAAACATAACTCAAGTACAGATAACCCACCAATCATGGCAACTTTAGCATCCCTTGTCCACGACTTGTGCACTTCTAAGAAATCCTCTGCAGTCAGTGAAGCATGTGCATGGCTCAGACGTGATACAACCACCACCTGGCAGTTAAGGAACTAAAATTATTATGAAGTCTTGTCAAGAGATCCTAAAACACATTCAATATTGCTAGCATAAAGCCTTTGCTAACATACCTAGTAGCACAAATAAATTCACAAACAAAAATATACTTAATGCACAAGACATCTTTTGCATTTCCTGTGTTGGATCATATTGCTAAAGAGTGATTACTGCATGCATACAGATAGTGAAGTTGATGATGCAGACTCGAATCATGAGATGAATAATTATAAAATTTCTTGTGTTTTGTTGACATTTAAACCCTTGTCCTAGCTGAAGAGTATAAACACAAGAATCAGTTACACATGAACAGGTCTAATCAAATCATAATTATTTACATTTTCTGCTCACCAGAAACGACCTTAAAGTCCTCTCACTGTTGTCCAGGTTCAATATTGTCCTCATCACATTCTGAACAGCCTCTTCCATACATAAGTTTTCCACCTGACTGTTCCAGCAGTGCACAAACACAGAACCCGCAACAGGAATATCATCTTCCGAAAGCAACAAAAGACTCTTTAGCAGTGTCATGCGTGTCTCAAAATTGCTCTCTTCCTTCTGCCCACTGCCAGGAAAGAGAAATATCTGGCGGTGCGAGAAGCGTGACTTCACACGTTTCTCCAGCAATTCCATCACATCCAATCGGCATGTCAGACCCACTACACAAATGACAGCCTGGGATGAAATATGAAAACATAACTGTCAATACAACTGTATTGACTGCGACTGTCAATACCTCGCACATACAGAACAAAACCCTCTGGAAAAATAACCAGCTCATAACTGTACAAAATTGACAAAAGATAACTTCAAATGACCTTGGGAAACAAAATTTTCATGTAATATTTCCATGCATGATCCTGATGGGAGGAGATAGTTTGGGAATCTGATGCATGAAAAATCTTTTTTTAGAGTTTACAGCTCTGGGATCAGTAACAGTGGCACATGAAGAGACCTCAGCACTCTAACCCAACCCACTGAGTGACAAATACACAATAAACTATTAACTACCTACTTTCTTTGTAAACTGCACTGTATGGTCACATAGCTTCTGTGTATGACAGCTGAAGAGGAGAAAAAAAAATTAACATATGGGGGAAGACAAAGAATAAACAACCTTTTTTAAACCAGAAAATTTGGCTGTTTTTTTGTTAGAAGTTTCTTGTTTTCTCTGTTGAACTCCAACATATTCAGATGGGGACACCTGACAAATTATTGTAATAAAATATGTGATATTGTTAAGCTGTATCAGGAACAAGATTTGCTGCAGTATTCTTAGAAGTATAATGCTAACTGAACCCAGTATCGAAGGGAATAGTGCTGGCACAAACAGAGTGTTAAATTTCTAAATTTAGTAAAAAACTGAATGCCACAGGAAAATGATACTGACTCCTAATTCTATCTGCAGAAATACAATATTCTATAATTTGCTGGGATGTAGGATACTGTTATGTAGAAATTTAAAACCCATGTTTCTCAACCAACTCCACTGTAAAGGATCTTCTTTGTGCATACAACATTCATCTGAACAAGAACTGTTATAGGATCTAACTGTTCACCAGCAGAGCTTCCTATTCTCTCTTACTCTAGCAAGTTCAATCCAATTCAGAACACCACAACCTACTTCTCCCATACAACACGGCTCCATTGTCACAAGGGAAACCACAAGTAAAATTAAAGGCGGGGGGACATGTAATTTTGCATAATTCATTGTCTTTGATATTCTGCTTCAACGCTGATCACACTTAAGATATCACATCGTTACGAGTCAGAAATTATTTTTTTTATATTTTATTAAATATTCATGGTACTGAAAAATATCTCAAACAAAGAGTTATAGATTTGAGGTTTCACAGAAGTGAAAACTTAATTGGGTTAAAATGCTGCATAGTCTTGTGAAGATTACATAATATTACAACATAGAAAACTACTATCTTATAATGAAAATAAATTGCAGATCATAGTGAGAGGGGGCAAGAGATAGCATAGTTGGTCGAGACTCTATGCTACAACCTGGAAGGTTGTGGGTTCAATCCCTGATGAGGCCAATAAATTTTTTCAATTAACTTAATGCTTCCAGCCACACTATGGTGCTGGGGTTGACTCAGTCTCTATCAGAAATGAATACCAGAAATCTTCCTGGGGGTAAGGGACTGCTGGCACATAAGGCTGACAACCTCACCATCTGTGAACCAAGTATCTAGAAAATGTGGGATCCTCTACGTCTCACAACCCTATAGGCCTCCACAGCCTGTTACAGGGATAGCTTTACCTTTTCTTAAGTTATATAAAGTATAGGATATACCATCTACACAACAACAATCAATATTCAAAACAAAGAAGACACTACTGCATCAACATTTGCTTTTATTATGTTTATTAGAGACGCGACATGTTTTGACCCTTTCACGGGTCATCATCAGGCATACAATGCACCAGTCTGAGTTGTTGGGTTGCAATCAATTGTCATTTTATTCATCGAATAAGGATCCTTATTGTATCTCGATATTAAATTCAAATGTGAATGTATAACAAATCTTGGGCAAAATTTGAAGCTAAAACCCTTAGATAAAAATTGTATTTAAAATTACAAAAGTAATAAGAAATTAAAACATTAAAATAAGAGAACAAAGACTCAGACATGAAAATTAAAATAGTGTTTCATTGGTAACACTCTGCGACTGCTATGTGTAGGCCTGGTTTTAAGCCAGAAGAAGCGACTAACAGCGTGGGGGACCCGCATAACAGAATTTTCTCGATAGGATGGGTCATGTAGCCATGACCTTGGTAATGTCTTATAGAGCTTAAGCTCAATATACAGTAAGCGATCTGTAACAATCTAATTATTATTACAAAGTGCAACTTGTAAGTGTAATGTTATTAACCATGTTGTTGGAATTATATAGTAATGTACTTACATATATTAGGTTGTACTTATGAATGGTATGGGTGCGGGCTGCCCCTGCCTGGATGCTGTCACTATAATGTAGAGGTATGGTCTGAAGTATTTGCTTGTGGGATATCTGCATGTGTGGGCATGTTTGCGAAGGGGCGATTGGAGAGAAGTGGAGGAAAGGAGGATACTGTGAGTGGTTGGAGAAAATGGGAAGGGGTGGAGCGATTTGAATTGTTTTTTTTACTAGAATATCAAATATGGGACTATATACTATATATATCTGTGAACGTATTGTTCAACTGCGGGCCCTTCTTCGTTAAGTCATATATATAAAACCTATCTAAAGTGTTGAGTTTGGGTCCCTTCTTTTCTATGTGTAATACTTCCAAGGTCTGGTCCATCGTGTTAAATGTATGTCCTGTATCCAAAATGGGTAGTGCAAATTTAGAGTGTTGTTTATTAGTCTTAATAGCCTTTATATGCTCTCTGTAGTGAGCTCTGAATGTGCGTCATGTCTGTCCGATATATTTGAGAGGACATTCACTGCACTGTCGCTGGTATATACCACTCTGGTTGTATATATCTCCTGGTGTTCCTTTAAGTTTTAAATGGTGTTGGATTGTATAGGTTGTCTTAAGAGCAATTTTAAGATTAGTATTTCGGAATACGTTAACGATGGTTCTAGTTTCAGGTCTGAAATATGTGAAGGTGGCCCATTTAGTTTTTTTCTTTTAGAGTATTTAGCAGTGTTTGTGTAGAATTTATGGCACTTTCATTTGGTGTTGAAAATTTGTGGAAAGTTGTTGGTACCTGTTATCCTTTAGCATCTTGTTTATGATTGTCCCTTTTTGACCTTTATTCTTGGGTGAGGGGATATGTGTTCATACAATTTAATAGATAGTATATTGCAGATCTTTTACGTTCATTTGGGTGGGCTTACGATATATGTTGAAAGTTAATTTGTTGTACTCCTTGGTAATTGTCATATCAAAGTAATTGATCCTATGGTGTGTTTCCTTTTCCATTGTGAATTTTATTTTTGGATGTACATTATTGAGCTCTATTAGGGCGTTTTCAATATTCTTGTGTAGTTCATTGTATACAACCAATATGTCAACATATCGGTAGTAGTCTATGATTTGGTGTTTATTGAGGATCTGGTAAATTATGGTATGCTCAAGGTCGAGTATGAATGTTTCTGCTAATATGGCAGACGAGGAGCTCCCATTGCAAGACCTTCATTTTGTTTGAAAAACTGGTTGTTAAATTGAAAATAATTTTGTTCGAGAATCATGTTTACTAAATTTACCAATTCATCTTTCTCTTCTTTGCTCTTCAATTCAATTCAATTCAAAGTAATCGCAGTTCAGGATGTTTCTAATTATATTTAAAAGTTCTGAAGTTGGGATATTTGTGTACATATTTGCTATGTCAAATGAGCAAAGCTTTGTATTCTCATCTATCTCGGCTTTTAAAAGGGATTGTGCAAAGCTATGAGAGTTCTGGACGTTAAATGAGTATGGCATGTTAGTACCCTGTTCAATAATGTATTTGTGTATTTACCTATTTTGTATCCAGGACTTTCTTTCCAATTAACTATCAGTTGTAGGGGGTCTGTCTTGTTTGTGCAGTTTTATCAAGCCGTGTATTTAGGGGGGCTCCAGGATTCATATTGAAGTACGTACTTCCATTTGTTATTTGTATTTATTACTTTGTAGCATTTATTCAAACTACTGTGTATATTTTGTTGTTGTTTACTTGTAATGTCGTGTGGTAATTTCGTGAAGTTGCTTTTAGAAATGGACTCTTTGATTTTGTTAGTGTAGTCATTTTTGTATAATATGACTAATGTGTTCCCCTTTGTCTGCTTTAGTTATTATTAGTTGGTTTTGACTTATTTTGTGAAAAAATATTAACTTAAAATTGACAAAGATCAAATATATATGAGATTACATGAAACACTATGAGACAGAAGACAATGAAAAAGACATTTAAAATGATAAGATGCATCCATTCTGGTCCTCACATGTGAGAGTGAGAACTGATAATCAAATCCAGTGAAATTATATCTTTTAGGTCAGCAGATGGCCATACCATCACAACACATGTGGAAAAAGATGATATCAATAATACAAAATTTTGTAAGACACCTCAAACAGAACTTATAGATCTGCAGCACAGCAGCAAAATGGGCTTCTGGGTTCAGAGGCTATGTTCCCTTGTAAAGGTTACATAGTGTCATAACTCAGAAGAACGTTTGTCTAGGTCCATGTTTCCGCTCATTTTTATGAACATCATGTCACTAGATACCGTTCCACTCCTGTACCCTTTACCTTCCTACACTCAGTAGTACCAGAATGCCTGCCATGAGAATGTCTGAAGTTGAAGAAACACAAGCACTTCTTACTGTAGGGGTTTAAATTTTGTGCAGTAAAAACTGCCAAAAAGAAATTTACAATTTCCTTTTCGTGCCATACCTTTATGAAATGTAAAACAACACGGGTGCCACGTGAGCCTTCTATTTGTCTTCCGATTTTATGGGTATAACTAAGGAACCATTAGGGCACATAACATAACATTTCTTTATGGAGACCATTTAAACAACTACAAACTCTGTAAAGTAAAGCTTGTTGCTGTGTTTAATTCTATATCAGGATATTAAGTTGCATAAGAAAGTGAAGATACACATCCCTAACCTCAACACTTCATGGACTTGAGTGGTCCACTTCACAACCAGGCTGCTTTACTCCTGGGCAAAGAGCTACAGTACCCATTACACAGGAAGTTGGGTGGATCTTAGAGTCAATCCGGATGCCATGGATCACACTACTGTGTGATTTTTATGGTCTTATTCTCACCTGAGCAGACTGAGCCACATTAAACAGGTTGTAGAGAAGTGTCTGGTTGTGGTGGGTGCAAAACAGATCAAACTCATCCAGAATGAATATTATGGACTTGCATGTGTCCTTGTTACCAGACCTGAGGCACTGCAGCAGGTATGTCAAATTTTCTGAAAATTAATAACATTAATAAGACAGAGAAGTGTCTTTCTTTAAATATGAGAAGTCACTTTCAATTCTCACGAGTTTTTGCACATTTAACAATGTGGCAATAGCAGTGGGTCTACTTCAGTTCTACTTTGTCATACCACTGATCCGTGCTGCTGTTTCCTTGTTAAATTGCTACTACCTAATCTTTATTTTTACTGATACATACTGGACTTTTTCAGGATACAAATTTCTTACCATTGTCTATTACTTGTAAAAGGTAAAGTTGTCCCTGTGCTTAAATAATTAGGCACCACACCATGAAGGCATATGGGGGAATGGATATATAGATCCACATTTTCTTGACCTTGGAACTAGCTGGAGGTGAGTGGTCAGCTTCACACCCTGGCCGCTTTACATCCAGGGAAAGTGCCCCTGGTACCAATTGGTAGGAGGTTGGGTGGACCCCAGAGCCAGACTAAACATGGAGAAGAGAAAATTCTTGACCCTACCGGGACTTGAACTCCGACCTCTTGGCATTCCAGCCCATAGCCAGTTGCTATACTGACTGCGCCATCCCAGCTCACTGTCTATTACTTGTCATTTATTTAAAAAATTATATAGTAAATACAAAGCAAAATTAAGTGTCAAAAACATATGATTATGGTTCATGCATGCCAATACACACAGAGACTTTGATTCAGTATTTTGCGAGATACTGAACTATATTTCAGTGTGCAAACATATGGAATGACAGACTCATTTATTCCTGGGATCTGAAAAATTGCATAATCTTTACTACCTTGATTTTACCAGCAGGTTAAAAGGAAGGTAAGTGGAATACTGGGGTACACAGTAGTGTGGGGCACGCGGTAGCATAGTGGTTAAGGCATTATGCTACAAGTCTGAAGGTCGCAGGTTCAAATACCGATGAGGTCAATGGATTTTTTCAATTGACCTAATCCTTCCGGCAGCACTATGGCCCTGGGGTTCACTCAGCCTCTAACAGAAATGAGTACCCAGAATTAAATAAATAATTTTCCTGGGGAGTAGAGCATGGCCGGCACTTAAGGCTGACAACCTTACCGCCATCTCTGAGCTGATTGTCTAGATAGCGTGGGACCCTTAACGTCTCACAACCCTATGGGCCTTCATGGCCTGTTACAGGGATAGCTTTACTTTACGCAGTAGTGTAGTTGGTTGAGGCACTATGCTACAAGCCAGAAGGTTGCGGGTTAAAGTCCCGATCAGGTCACTGGATTTTTTGAATTGACCTAATCCTTCCAGCTGCACTATGGCCCTGCGGTCGACTCAGCCTCTAACAGAAATGATTACCAGGAATTAATTAAACAAGTTTCCTGGGGAGTAAAGTGTGGCTGGTGCATAAGGCTGACAACCTTACCGCCATCTTTGAGCCAATTGTCTAGATAATGTGGAACCCTCAACGTCTCACAACCCTATGGGCCTTCATGGCCTGTTACAGGGATAGCTTTACTTTTTTAAGTGGAATATTAGATATTACCCTCCAACAACGAGAAGGCAAGGGAATGATGAAGACCTGCCTGTGTGTACTGTGTAAGCTGAGAACACCATTGCTGCTGTTACACTGAAGCTCACATGTCCCTAACTGTAGAGTAGAGTGGTTAAGATAGACCAGCTATGACCACTATTTGCCCTGCATTCTCTTCATAGGAGACCAGTACACATAAGACGTTAAAATAAATTTAAATTTCCTTCCACATCCTCTCCTTTTTCTGGTACAATCAAGTTAGAAAACAGAACTACTGTAAACTTGTGGATAAGAGCACATCTGATCATATAAAAGTAACGAAAATGTTAGCATGGTGGACATTTGTCCTATTAGAGCAATGCCTCTGGGCAGAGCCTATGGTTTTTGGGTTTAAAAATACACATTTAATCAGAGATGGTTTTTGAATTTAAAATTCATCTGGTAAACTATGTTGAGTAATCAGTGTCAAAATCAAGGAGAAAACTTTGCAACACTGCTGACCAGGCACAATTTTGCTGCTGTAACTGTAACGGTGCATGTTTATCAGTGCTAATGACCCATTCTGCTATCAGCAGTTATGGCAGCAATCTGTGAGGAATGTTGGGTCAGGTCAACGGTGTTGTTTAGTTTCCTTCTTAACTGAACACACTGTATGTGATTACACTGACAAAACTGCGCTTCACTTTATTGCTAACAAATGCCATTCAGTTGAGTTTCACTTGTGACACTAACAGCCAACTTGCTACCATTCCTTACAGAACATGGAGATTCATTACCATTTCCCAAGAGCCTGTTACTGCTCCACATCCTGAGCAAAATGAATGCAGCCCACACCCTCACCCAATTACATGAAGACCCGAATTAATATTATTCTCATACCTATTCCCAGATCTTCTAAGCAGTCTCTTTCCATCAGGTTTCCTGTTGAAAACTCTGTATGCATTTAGCATATCTACATAATAGATTGGTATGGGAGTAATGCTCTAGACTATTATTCAAGAAATGCTTGGTTTGAATCTTGGCAAGGTCACTGGCTAATCTGACTTTTGCAGTTTTCCTCAGTCCCTTTAGGTAAATGGTGGGATAGTGCTGTATTCAGGCTGTGACCACTTCCTTCCAAATCCTTTCCAGTTTGTCATTCGTCCTTTCCGATATATAGTTTTGATACTGAAAACATCATTAAATAACCCACAAAAAAGAGCATGTTATATACCCTGCCCATCTAACTCCCCTTGAGCTGATCAGTTTAATACAGTGAAACTTACACTGGCCACCTATAGTTTAACTCATATCTGGCCAACATAGAGAAAACAACGTTCAAATTTCCGACTTTTGAGGCTTCACTGAAACACGTTTACTACTGTACTGTGTTATTTCTGCCCCCATATTAAGCTTTCTGAAGCACTTCTTTGTTGCTTCTAATCCTGTGGCTATTTAATGAGGACAACAGAACTTCTTCTTGGTATAGAGATTTCTTAATTGTCACACCAGAATGTTACTGGAAATTTAAGCATCTAGATATTCAGCACACATCACAAAACATCTGGAAGGTCCTTCTTCTGAAAACAAACACCAATACAAACATCAATGTCCTTCTTTCTGTGTGAGATCTGAGGTTGTCACAGCAATGTCTGTGACGATTTCTACCTTCTAGGACTTAACACATTTTGTGCTGCTGTAACTAATGAAAGAAAATTATAAAGTACAAAATTCTGTCACTTCTTGTGGCATTTTGTTCTACCAAGTTCCATCTTCCATTGGTTAAAAAGATACTGTGGGAATAAACATGAATGAACCTGATACCATGTGTCTAGCTGTCCTTATAAAACTAGGGAAGTGGGTTAAAATCTTATGTGTAACATATTTTAAGTATCTAAACAGTCTTTTTTTTTTGTGGCGCTACAGCCTCAATTTGGGCCTAGGCCTACCACCATGAAACTCTCCCGTTTCACTTTGGTTTACTAGATCTTACACATATGGTAGGACTCCTTGGGCAAGTGATCAGCTCGTTGCAAGGCCTCTACCTGTAGACAAACATAGAAAAACGCACACAAACATCCATGCCCTGAGTGGGATTCGAACCCACGATCCCGGCTTCCGAGCGAGCGAAGACAGTGCACGCCTTAGACCGCTCGGCTACCGTGACCGGCATCTAAACAGTCATAGTCCAACATTATCCATTACAAATCAACGATTTTGACCATAGTCTGTTGCCTTCTATGTACTGACAAATATAAAAATGTTAAATTTTTGCAATAGTGACACAAGATATCCAGCCATCTCCTACAGAACAGCTATCAAAATTAAATGTGCTAAACAATTCTGATAAACGAACTGGTGACTTAAACCAACCATTAACTGAATTGAATTGAATTGAATTGAATTGAGGTAGGGTTCTCAACAGAACTAACCTGCAAATGACCCAAACACTTTGTTGCCTACAGTAGTTTCAAGCTGCATTTGTCTGGTGGCATCTTTCAAGGCGAGTCTATCATCTGTGTGCATCAGTCCATTCAACTCCACAACCAAAGCTTGTTTGTGGAATGACTTTCCATTCTTTAGTTCACTTAAAACACTATTCAAGAGCTGAAGAGAAACAAATATTTCAGAAGAGAATTAAGCTTCCAAGAAACCTATAATTGTAATATAAACACTGCTAACTTACAGTTGTTTTTCCACACCCTCTAGGCCCTATTAAAAGGGCAGAATTACTCTCTCCCATCTCAACAGTTCTTCGCAAAAGTTCTGACAGATGAATTTTCTCTTTCTCATGACCCCGGAATACACTTTCCGGCAATAACAATTTTTTCTTAATGGTGCTCCTACACAGAACAAGTCCATCCTCTACACTTAATAGTCTTCCCATTATTTATCACCTACTACAAAATGCATAGTTACACGAAAGTGTGCACAAGACTCGAATACAAGCTCCGAATTTCGTATCTTATAATATGACAATTTCAAATATCAGCCAATTTATTCACGAATGACTTTACCACAATTACCACTAAAATCATTCAGACCGGAAGGATGTTTCTCTAATCTTCCTATCACTGATCACTCAGACGAGCTTCTACTATTCTACTATGCATGCTTCTCTACTTCTCAACGTTCTCAACGTTCTCAACTTCCACATTTCTTTATTGTAAATGCGCGACAAAGGCGGGTGTTTATTCACAATGTAGTCAAAAGATGTCAGCAAAATCAATTCCTTGCAAATGTAAAATTGAAAGGGCAAGACCAATTTTGCAATGATCTCTGCTGCCATCTATTCCTGCGTTCACATTGGTCTGTCAACCGTACCAATCACAATACGAGTATACCTATCACATTTGTCTGAACGGTCTGAACCAACCACAGAATCCCGAACAAAATAGGTGTCTGAAATTTGATTTTGTTTTTCTTTGGGATTTACCTACGTTCATCTGTGCTTGATGGCAAGGGCTACAGATAATTTAGAAGTTATTGCTTATTCTCTTCCGGATGGTTAATTTGGATTTTGGTTTGATATCTATTGCCGAGCAGCAATGTGTTCTCTATTTATCTATAGCTTAAGCGGTTAGTCGCTGGCTTCCCACCGCTGCGGTCTAGCCAAGTGGGATTTGTGATGGACAAAGTGGCGCTGGGGCAGGTTTTCCCCGAGTACTTGGGTTTTCCCTGCCAATCCTCATTCCATCAAATTCTTCATAAGCATTATCACCAGTACAGGTACAATAGGACATATGGAAGACGACGTGCCGAGGGGACCTAATATGGATTCCACCTCACACTATACGAACTCTTAACTATTGTAATCTATTGTAAACAATTGTAAGTATTGTAACTTTATTCTCTTATTGTAATCAGCCAATGTACAGTAACTGGCTTGTCCTATATCATGTAACAATGATCTATAGAGACGAAATAAACAAATATGTGGTCTGTGCCGAGCCTATATAAGGAGCAGGAACACTATTCAGCCAGTATTGAGTATTCAGTATAAGTCTATGATTTATTTAATCCGTCTTGCAGTGCATACATTCATTTATCTCCTTCTTTCCCTCGCACTACATGTTTCGGCATAATAATGCCATCTTCAGGTGCTTACTTGTCCACGTCAAACCAGTTCATTGCATGCCATGTTCATTATGCCGAAACATGTAGTGCGAGGGAAAGAAGGAGATAAATGAATGTATGCACTGCAAGACGATTAAATAAATCATGGACTTAAATCAGTGCAACAGGACGCTAAAATATAACATTCAGTATAAGTTGAAGTCTTGAGACAGTCGCCGTTGAAGGGAACTGGAGCCCAGCATTCGCCAAGCGATAGTTGAACAGCATTTGAGATACTGGATTGTATAAGCGTAAAAGCGAAGGAGAGTAAATATTCGCTACATCCTTGACCTACGTGAGATAATTTGTCGCGTGACACACCCAACACGTGACACTATTTTGTGAACTTGGAATTCGGCGGTCCTAGTGCACGTAGGCACGCGTTTTAGGCTAGTACGGTAGTAGTTCATCTTCTTATCGACTGAGCTATCGGTTGTAACTACAGCAGATGCCTGAGCGAGGGAAGTAGATGGCAGAATGGAAAAAGAAATCCTGGTGGCTATATTACCAGGCAATCCGATTGTGAAGCAATTCTGCAGTCTAAAAACTAAAACAACATGGAAGAGGAAAAAGTTACATGCAGTTTTGTTTTTAAAAAAAGGGCTAAAAGAAGTCAGTTGTCCACCAGAAAACGGAAAGGGAGCGAAGAAAACCGTACGTATATGGTGAATTTCCCTGTTTGCGATATATTGTATGATATTGTGGCAATATCAGAAGAATGGATGTTGCATTTTAACCTTTAGTAAATTCGTAGCAGCTTAGGTAGATGTAAATGATTTAAGTCCTTTTTGCAACAAAATCGATTTCATTCATGAAATCTACATCCAGTTGCCAGTTTTGACCAACCTTGAATCCATGGAATTTGCTACATGTAAATAAACGACGAAATTAATTCAGTGTTAATAAACATGTTACAGCAAGCAGTGAGGACGAAACCATGGTTATGAAGAAGGATAGAAGAGCTAAAGATAATCCTTTAGTACAGAAGGTAATTTTATGATCGATTGACTGCACAGCCTAGTGTAATATAACCTAACGGAACCAAGAACTTCGAGGATATGCATATGCGAGGCGAAATACGCCAATGTAAAATTAACGCAGTCTTGGATTTGAGGTTCTGTCATTGGTGAATATAAACAGTACTATTTTGTGGGATGAGAAGCTGCGGAGGTCAGAGAGAGCACAACGGCTTTGAGGAACATATCCCCTCCATCTTCTGGGCCGGGCATTAATCCAAGCAAGAAACCAGCAGATGCAGGTTAGACGTTCCTCTGAAATGTTAGGCTTTTTCTCTACTACACAGTGTTCCAATCCATATGACCATACTCGTTATAATCACCACTGTGAGAGCTTCAAATCCAGAATCTAGCATAATATCTTCATATGTTATGGGTAGTCACTTTGCCTCTATGGTGAGGGTAGTGAGTTTATTCAACATTTTGCCAGTACACCCCTCGCAGAATGCAGGATCCACATTAGCACTGAACTGCTGTGGAGGCCCTTGATTCTCCTTAAGATTCTGAAATATGTGGTTTGCCTAGTGCTTTATTGCAAACAGGTAGTTAACTCTTTTCACTGGCTCATTGTTTAGTGACAGCAACATTTATACATATTTTCAGTTAGGACATTACCAGATATTGAAAGCAAACCATAGCAGATACAGTCCACTCTTGTTCTGGTATGAGGAATGGCTCTTGAGTAAGCCAAATCGTTAAACACTTTGGGCTCTATCTTTGTGATCTGAAGATCACCGCAAGATGAGTAATATCTGAGAAGACTACTAGATCGCCTGAGGCTCACACCCTAAAAAATATTTTTAAATTTATGAATTATTTAAAGAAGGATAAATATACAAAAGCATGATGGCATAGCATAAGGTGACATCTGTTTACTGTACTGGGGCCATGGGAAGAAGTCCCATTAATTTCCAACCACATCTTCCACTGTTTCACTCAGACTGTTGACTACATTGTACTTCCTTATAGTCCTGTCAAGTCTTCCAGCAGTTCTGTTGGTAGTGATACCCTTCACTAGCCACAGATGCTTCAATGACTGGTAGCCAAGCAAGAAGAAAATGGTAGGGTTTGTATGCTGCTTGTTTCTTGTGTGGCTTAGTCGTTACCTTAGAAGGTAGTGGCTATATGTTCCTCTGAAACATTGGGGTATATCTAAACTACATGGTGTTAACTGAAGATGACCATATTCTGCCCCAAACCTAATTGAGAATTCCCGAATGGGCAAGCAGATAGTGTAGTATGCCAATTCTAACCTAACCTATAAAGAAGTAGCCTGAGTTACCCATGTGAATATGTCAGCCAGATGAAAGCAGTATAAGGTTTATTTATTCATAATTTTATTTTAGTTACATGATTATTGTTTTATTTTTACTGTCAGTTTTATTTTCCATTTTTTGTTTATGGGTTATGGTCATTCTTCCCACAGATGGGACTTTGATCCATCCACTGCAAATGATAATCACCATAAAGGGATAAGTTCCCTTATGAATGTGAATTCACTGATTGGTAAGTTAGAAACTGACAGTGACTTGTGGTAGTTACTGATATGTCAAGGAGGCCTGTAAATTTTGTCATTGACCTAGTTCCTAGATCACAGTGGCACAGGCTCCGTCTCTGAAGACTTATGAATCCACCATCTGCCCAGAATTGATCTTCACTGGCCTAATCGACAGCCTAAGCCAACTCACAACTGATAAAATTCATTCAAAATCCAGACTCATCACAGGGCAAAGTTAACAGTTCTAGAACCATCTGAGGGCACTCGCTGTATATACAAAATTAGATATTGCATCACAGATTTGGAAGTACTGAGCATTGCTCCTCATCCCATTTCTTCCTGTCTGCCTTTGGAAAACCAGAGAAATGTTTGTTCTTGAGAATAACATCACTTTAGACACATTTTTCCAGCCTACATGTTTCTCAACACAATGCTGTTTAACACACTAGTTGGCAATTGAATAACAGGACAAAGGAAAACCCAGAATGTGGATTTGGTGTCCTTGTCACAGTAATTGTGGAGAGTGTGTGTTCAGTGACATTTCAGTGTAATATATTGCTTCCTCCTCCAGGGTAATTCTCCCCTGAATATTCAGGGAGTAAATTTCTCTGAAATTTTCAGTGAAAATTAAAGGCAATGAAACTGGTGAAATAATGAAAATGAGCATAAAATATACTGGATGAATTCAATGTTATCACCCACTTACAGCCCAGCCAAGAATTTGGATTTGTGATGACCATTCTCATAAGCTGTAGGATATCTGTCTGTGTGCAAAATTTTGAGAATACATAAGCTGTTTAGGAAAAGTTGCCAGGCTTTAAAAGGCCTATGATGTGTCAACCCCAAATGTTATGTGCCTGCTCAAACCTTGGAGTACCGTTTTGTGCAGACAAACACAGTGAGGAAGACTAAAGCAGTGGAGAGTGCAAGTGGCAGCAGTGATGACGATGTGATGGTCTCTTACAAGTCTAAACGAACTACGGGCAGGGAAGGGCCATCTGACATGGGAGCAACAGCAGTGCTGCAGATTGAGACAGAAGCAGAGAAGGATGCACAAGCTATATTTGAGAATGCCTTGAGGATTAATAAGGTATGAAGTGATTGAAATTTTATATGATGAAGCATTTATCTAGTCATGTCTACAAGCATGTTGTTTATATGTATTCACATGGCAAACCCCAAATTTGTTACTGCAAGTCCTGATTTGAAGAGTTCTCTGGTTCCAACAGTATAGAAATAAAAAAAAATGTAATATTACCGCTACTAAATGGAAGTCAGAAACTGAAAGGAAAAATGTGGTCATTACTGTTTTCTGTACATCTGATTCTTAGGATTTCTCAGTTTCTGGATTTTATCCATCGTCTACGAGTAATATCTGGAAAGAACACAGTGTTATCGAAATTGGATCTGTTTGTGTCTTATTGGTCCAGTGATTTTCCTTAGCTCTTAATAATTGGCCCAATTTGAGTATTTGCCTCTCCACCTTTTCACCTGAGGATCCAGTTTCTAAAATATTGAGTTCATTTAGAATACTTATTAGTGGACAAAGTTGAGAAACTCAGTAATCTAATGTGCACTAAGCACCCTGTAGACAAGACTCATTTAACTTTGTTCTGAACTGTGCTTCCTGGAATTTATGTGAGATGGAACATTCAGTCACATTGGGTGGAATTATTTAATGGAAAAGAGCAGGGAAAAGAAAAACAAAAGTGTGTCTGTATGGCTCAGTGACAGAGCCATGTCTTTATCTAGCATTAATGTGGATCATAGGTACCTGGCATATACAGGGTTTCCAGATGAAAGGTATCCAAAATAAAATAATTATTTCTCAGAAAGCTTTTATCATACACATTTATGGGTTACACCACTACAAAGGCAAACTATCAAAGTTTTTTCTGAGTATATAACTTTCAGTAAATTTCAACATGGGCTCCCCTGGTGGAATTACAAATATCCAGAGGATCCAGCATGTTTGATGTTACCATAGCCGCAGTGTCCATTATGTGGGCTTATGGTATCATAAAGTGAAGGCATACACATAGTAAGGTATCATGATTAATATACTCGTATATGCCAGTGTTCCGCAACCGGTGTGCCATCACAAGGTGAAAGGTGTTACGTGAACTTTTACCTATTGTAAGAAATTAATTGTCAAATTTTATTCGTTTTATTTTTATCCCAGTTACCAAGTTTCATATGCTTGTATTTTATTCTCAGCCACTGCACTGATTAAATAAGATGATGCTTGTTTATTCTTTATTACATGCTGTGATTTTTTATTTACATTAATATTGTATTCTAAGAAATTAAATGTAAATTATTTACTCACAGTTTTTTTTATATCATAGTTCTCATTATTGATTAATTTTTATTATTCTCGCATCTACGCAGCTTCTCTGATATGCTTGCCATATGTTCTGTGTACGTGCTTTTCCCTAAAACTGCAGGGATTAGCATGGGTTTTCCTGTCTTTTATAACGCTGTTTTGTATTTGCCCCTGTTTGTTAGAAGTTCGAGCTTCTTCAACTTTATGACTTTCTTCCCGTAACGATGCACCCACCGATTGTTGGACTTCATTTAAAATTATAAATATTTCAAAAATAAGTCGGTATAGTGTCACTTCTTCCGTTTGAAGAGTAGAGATCCTGCGTTTTACAGTTGTTTTTGTTCTATCACAGCTGTGCTCTGAAGTAGTTCGCAAATTTTGGTTGCTAGTTAGAGAATTACAGATGGGTCGTTTGAGATGTCCCCGACTGTATGGCCACTTGCTGACGGCAATAAAGTGGTGATGGACACAATTAAAGAACATTTAGAAATGCTGCAGCAGAAATTCAATAAGTATTTTGGAGAGAGTGTACAAGATTTTGACTGGGTTTGTGATCCATTTGTTGTGAATTCAGAACATCATCTGATTAATATACGAGAGGAACTCGCAGATTTAAAAGCAGACAGAACATTGAAACTAAAACTTCTCGAAGTGCCTTTGGATATGTTTTGGTTGGCAATAAGGAGTGGATACCCGGCTATCTCCAAGATGGCAGTTAATGTGTTATTGCCATTTTCAACTACATATTTGTGTGAACTGGGCTTCTCGACATTAACTGAAATTAAGACATCAAAGAGGGAGTGGCTCAAATCCATCGATGAAGAAATGAGACTTGCATTGTCAACGATTCCACCACGGATCAGTCGCCTGTGTGCAGCTACACAGGCGCAAATATCACATTGAAGGCATGAGTAGAATTACTGCATTTACTTTAATAGTAATAGAAGTGTATTTTCTACACTCTACAGTGAATTAAAGTTCATTAATTGTTAATAAATGCACGAGTCGATTTCTGTTTAATGATAATAAAATAATAATATAGTAATAAGTTGATCACGTTACGTATTTATATTAATTGTCTGATATCATGCGTTTTTGAGGGGAATAACATTTTGGTGTGCCGTGTTGAGTCATGGATACTTACTTCATCATGTGCCGCAAGTAGGAAAAGGTTGCGGAACACTGGTATATGCAAACAAGCTCCAGAGACTGAACTTAAATCTTCTAGTTCTCTTCACAAAATTCACTACCCTATAGTTGAGTGGTATGCCTCATACAGATATTTGTTTTGGAGATATATAAACTAATTTTTAAACGTTCTACAGAGCCAGAGCTCCCGGGTTCGATTCCCAGCACTACTAGATTTTCTGAGAAGTAGTGGGTCTGGATCAGGGTCTACTCAGCCTCATGAGGATAACTGAGGAGCTACTTGAATGGCAAAGTAGTGCCAGGGATGAAGCCTCCAGTTCAAAGACCAGAGGTTTGATAATGTGCTACCTGTTCAGAGCTATTATTCTCTTTAGGGGGCAGTGATAAATTAGTATGTTGGTATGATGAGGAGTAAGGGAAAGATGAACATGCCCGTGTGGTGTTCCATAATTCAAATAAATGACGAACAGAAGTGAACAAATATCATTACAACCCAGTTTTGTAACAAAGACATCAGAGAAATGAGAAAATGATTGAATAACAGTGCTGATAAGTTCAGTACATAATGCGTAATTCAGAAGTCGCATTATGAAGAACATAATGATTCATACAAGTCACATAATATTGTTTGGATATTTGCTTGTTTTTCTTTTTGTTATTTTTGGGGTTTGGTATGCCAGTTGTTTTTTGTTATAGCAGGAAGTTACAGTGGACTTGGCATGTGACTGACAGAGGAGCTGAGGAATGCATGCAAAATTCTGGTTGGAGAACATCCACATGGATGACAAAGGATTTGGGACGAGTACTTTAAGGTGCACCTTGAAGAGATTGGTTGTATGGATGTGAAGTGGATGGGATGGGCTGAGGGTCCTGTGTAACGAAGGGCTTTAGAATTAGTGACATTGAGCCTACATTGGCTGCTACCAGTGTTAGCTATAGGGAGTAAATTCATTGCAAGATTAACAGTTTTTTTTGTCTCTTGTACATGTCTGAGTTCACTGCCATGCCAGTATTCTGATCACACTTTCATATATTGTCTCTCTATAGGAGCTGAAGGGAAAAGAAGATGACAAAGTGTACCGTGGGATGAACAACTATGCCCAGTACTTTGAGAAACGGGACACTGCACAGGGAAATGCTTCCAGTGGAATGGTAGTGTGATCCTCCAGTTATCTGTTAAACTTATACTACTCTGTCCAAAAAGTATCTGACCTTGGGCTGGGAAAACAGACTTCTGTATCTTGGTGGTTACATTACCTAATCCCCTTCTAAGTAGACCCCTTGTGACTCCACACACTTAGCCCAGCGGTCCTTCCATTGCTGGAAGCAATTCTGGAAGGTTTCTTTTGGATGGTGTGGAGCTGTGCCATTGTGTTCTGTATGATGTCCTTGCAGCTGTCAAAATGGGAGCCTTTTAGTGGTGTCTTCAATCTCGGGAACAGCCAGAAATCGCAAGGAGCCTGGCGAACTTGCGGAATGCCGTGCTTGGCCAGGAAACCCTGGATCAGGTGTGATGAATGAGCTAGGGCGGTGTCATGATGCAGCTGCCAGTTGCATACATCCCACAGCTCCGGTCTCTTGCGCTGAACTGCATCACGAAGATGGCGGAGGACTTCTTGGTAGTACTCCTTATTGACAGTTTGGCCTAGTGGTGCATACTCATGATGCAAAACACCCTAGTAATAAAAAAAAACTATCACCTTCACATTGCTCCGAACCTGTCGTGCTTTTTTGGACCTTGGGTATGTTGGATGCTTCCATTTGGATGCCTGGACCTTGGTTTCTGGGTCATATCCATTCATCAGTGATCACAGTCTTCAGGAAATCAAGCTCCCTGTTGGTGCACTCCAGCATGTCCTGCGCGACCTCAAGGTGGAGTTGTTGCTGCTCCGGCGAAAGCAGCTTGGGCACAAATTTTTTGCCACTCTTTGCATACCCAAATCCTCAGTTAAAATTGTGTTTGCAGAACCTCTGCTGATCCCAACCTCATCACCAACTTCCCAGATGGTCAAACGACAGTCCTCCATGATCAATGTCCACACTTTTTCAATGACATCAGCATTTTGGCTCATTGACAGTCACCCTGAATGATGCTCACTGTCTGCCGACATATGGCCATCTTTAAAGTGGTTGAACCACTCTTTAATTTGAGTGACCCCCCATTGCATCATTACTGAAAGCCTGCTGAATTTTGCAGATTGTTTCTGGTTGGGTATCCCCAAGTTTCTGAGAAAGCTTGATGTAGTATTGTTGCTCCAAGCGTTTTGTCATCTTGAGCGAAACGAGAATGCAGTGAACACACGTTACACCACTTCGCTATCTGGCAGCCACAGACGCATCCGGTGGTGTTGCGAGTCAGCAAAAAATCCCGCATGCGCATGAAAGTCCCTTCTACCACTACGCTCCATTTCATCACCCCTTTGGCCATTACTTACAGTGGAAAAAAATAAAGTCAGATACTTTTTGGACAGCAGTGTAGATCTGTAAGTTCTGGTATACTCTAATAAATGTGGGGACACAAGTGTAAGCACACATGCGCACACACATGTGCTGTGTATTAGTGAAATTGAAGAGATTGGTGACACTGTGCTCAAATGTACAAGTACATTCAATTTGCAAAAAAAAACTGATCAGTTCTGTAACATGTTTCATTATTAAATAACACTTATGCACTTTTATATTGAAGTTATAGTGAATTTTTGATTAAAACTCCTGCAACTTCTAAATTCCTTGATGTTTACACTTTATGAATTGGACCCATGGTAATTTTACATACATTCATTCAATTGATGTACCCACTAAATTTGACAGACTTGTTCTTTATAAAACTTGTGTATCTCATTCTTTATGAAATGGAAAAGTTAAACTTAAATTGTCATATTGAAGATAATGACGTAAAATGTATTCTTTTGAGTGCAGAGAAGCTGCAGGGGGCTGTAGAATAACTTGTCTGTCAGCTCTGTGGTTCCGTATCTCAGTAGTCAACTGCTTTGTTGTTTCATCATTGATTTCAATCATTTTTACTGTTTGGATTTACTTCCTTCCTATACTCCTGATCAGAGTGTTTCCAGAAAAGTTCATTTTCAGAAACACAGAGCAGCAACCACCCAGTCATCCAGTTAGTCAACCAGCCCATCAAGCATTGAATTTCCAGTTCCACTATATGTGTTTGCTTTGTTCAGATAATTACATGAAATTCATATTTCCATCTTTCAGTGAATTTTAGACACTTTTACTTATATTGAAACTTAATGTGAATTACTCAGTTATAGATGTACTGATATTCTGTGTTATCATAACTGTCTTTGGATTTTCTTAAGATCCTTGTTGCCTTTATGTGCAGGTTCGGAAAGGCCCTATCCGGGCGCCAGCCAACCTTCGAACTACTGTGCGGTGGGACTACCAACCTGACATTTGTAAGGATTACAAGGAAACTGGTTTCTGTGGGTTTGGAGGTGAGATTGAAAACACTGATCATACATTTTTCTCCACAAGAGAAACTTGGTCTCTTTCTTGCACAAATAATTTGTCTCTCATCTAATATCTGGCATTAAGCAGTCCAGAAGACTTAAATGCAAATTAGTTATTAAAGTTAATGTTTATATACTCACCGCTGTGGCCCAGGTTCGATCCCAGGTCTGGTCAAGTGGGATTTTTGGTAGACAAAGTGGTGCTAGGGCGGGTTTTCTCTGAGTACTTCGGTTTCCCCTGCCAATCTTCATTCCACCAAATTCTTCATCATAATCTCCCAGGGCAGGCTACAATAGGCCAATCAGTGGCCACCGTGCTGAGTGGACCCAGTTGGACTCCACCCCCCACTAAGCGAATTTAATTAATTTTAATGTTTATATAAGGGCTAATAACAGTAATAACAGACTCAATTATAGTGTTATAATATTTTTCTCAGTTGAATCTTGGCTTTTTTTAACTCTCTGAGCACTGATTGTGTTAAACATGCTACTTCATTCTGATAAGGGCATGCAGTAGTGTAGTTGGTTGAGGCACTGAGCTACAAGCTGGAAGGTCGCAGGTTCAAGTCCCAATAAGGTGGATTTCTTTCATTTGACTTAATCCTTCCAGCCACACTATGGCCCTGGGATCAACTCATCCTCTAACAGAAATGAGTACCAGGAGTCTTCCTGGGGTGTTAAGGGCAGTCAGCATGTAAGGCTGACAACCTCATTGCCATATGTGAGCAGATTGTCTTGAAAATATGAGAGTCTCAGTGTCTCACAACCCAGTGGGCCTCCACAGTCTGTTACAAGGATCGCTTTACCTTTTTACCTTTTACTTTATTCTGATAAATACAAAATAAAATTCATTAGTTCTGAGTGTTGGTAAATTTTAATGACTAGTTGTCCTCTTATTATAAACAGATAGCTGTAAGTTCTTGCATGACCGTTCTGACTACAAGTTTGGGTGGCAGTTGGAACGGGAAATGCAAGAAGGAACGTATGGTGAGACAGACAATGATCCACACCAATATGAAGTTGATTCAGATAGTGATGATCTCCCTTTCAAGTGCTTCATCTGCCGGAATACTTTCAAGGACCCTATTGTGACAAAGTGAGTTGCACATTGTGTGTTCTGTGGTACCTTTGATGCTGCGAGAGTGAACTGCTCGAAATTTTACATCCTGTATTGAACGCTATGTTCATTGATTGTTGAAGAGTGGATAACAGTACAGATATGACAGAACAGTCAAAAATATATTTTTCCTTTTATTTCATTAAATTTCTGGGTCATGCGGTAGAGGCACTGTTCTACAAGCCAGAAGGTCTCGGGATCGAATCCCGATGTGGTCATTGGATTTTTTTGAATTGATCTAATCCTTCCAGGACAACCTTACTGCCATTTATGAGCCGATTGTCTAGAAAATGTGGGAACCTCAACATTTCACAAGCTTATGGGCCTCCATGGCCTGTTACAGGGATACCTTTACTTTTCATTAAATTTTGACCAGGTCAGGAATTGTTTCAAATTGAAATTGTAGGTCTTAATGAGCTCTAGAGGTTCTCAGTACTAGTCTTTTCATATGATATTACATTTCAGAAAATTGTCACTGAGCTTTATGTAAAGTAGGGGTTATGTTGGACCAGTATCAGTCAAATTAAAGGTTTTCCACTATCTTATAGTGTGGATTCCCAGTATCAGATTTCACTGAAATCTGTCATATACTTTCAGAAATTAAACTTATGATTGGATTGCCAGCCAGCCATAATATCCCTCTCCTATTGCAGTCACTTTAAGCACATTTGCAAAGACCATTAAAATTAGATTTTCATGTATTTTCCAGTAATTTCATAGTGCAATTCATAGAATGTAAATTAACTAGAACTGAATGCAGCTAAACATTGTTCTTCACATCAGAATTAGGCGTGTTTGACAGCTGAGAGTGAGTGACTGATTCAGATGAATTTTGAGGTAATAAATAACATTCGTATAGTTGAAAGATCACTTATTTGTGGAAACAGTGAAGCTTTTCTTCACTCACAACCAGTGGGAAATATAGAAGGAAACACGGAACGTGGCATAAATTGCTAGCAGCATAATTTAAACAATTAATTGGAGATGGGAACATGTTCATTTTTCAGCCTTTGCACTTTCACTTTCATAAGTAGGTGCTGTGTGGTACTAGGAAAAGTTTTCTAATTCAGTCAAGCTACCTTTGAGGATAAAGTGGATGGGGCATGAAGCTGATCATTCACCTTCATCTAGTTCCAAGGGTGAGAATGAATGAAGACTTACCTCCAATCTCCCATGTATCTTCATGTGAAGCATGCAAACAACTTCAGTGAGACTAAATTTTGCATGTCTGTTGCAGAACATCAGAGGTTATACAGGGTGGGGTGCAGAAACTGCCTTTTTGTGAAGACGCATTGTGAAGGGAGGGGAGGTCGCAGAAACGTGAGGATAGGCTCGGCAAATGCAGCAGTCACAGAAGTTTCTCTCTAATACCCCTCAATAGGAAACATGAGGTGGTAAAGTGCGCAGTGTGCATTTGCTGTTGAAGCCTATTTTTCGAATAACCATTCCTACGTGGCGGTGCAGCGTGCGTTCCGTCCTCACTTCGGAATTAAGCCCAGAGGTCCGGTTCCCGACCAGAAATCGATTGTTTTGTGGGTATAGAACTTTACGACAACTGGGAGTGTGATCAAAAAACCATCAAGACAACAATGGACCATTACGATGCCAGAAAATGTGGAGGCAGTTCGACAGTCGATTTTGAGATCTCCAAGACACTCCGCTCGCAAACATGCAGTCGCCCTAGACATATCCAGTCATTGAATGCGCCGAATTCTTCATGAACATCTTCATTTCCATCCCTATAAGATGGTTGTTGTGCAAGAATTATCACCACGTGATTTCCAGAACCGAATAACGGCGTGCGAAACGTTATTGGAAACTGTACCCCCTGCTGCACTTGTTTTCTTTAGTGATGAGGTACATTTTCACCTATCTGGATATGTCAGCAAGCAAAATATGCGCTAATGGAGTGGTAACAATCCCAGAGAGCTCCATTAGAGGCCACTTCACAGTGATAAGGTGACAGTATGGTGTGCGTTGTCCAGAGTTGTAGTTATTGGCCCTTATTTTTTTGAAGAAGACAATCATGCAGTTACTATCAATTCAAGTGGCCTCCGTAGTCTAAGGGTAATGTTCGCACCTAGTGACTCAAGGTACACGGGTTCAAACCCGGCGAAGGTCGTGGAATTTTTAAGGGTGGAAAAATTCAGGGAACAAGTCCTCCAGCAGGGACTTTAAGCCGTGGGTCCCATGTCATAGCTTTACGGCACGTAAAAGAACCTCATATCCCAAGGGGACCTCTGAGCGAAATTCAGGACATTTCCCACCCAACAGTAGTCTCTAACGCCTCTGGTAGATGGGGGAAGCATCGAGATACCGCTGAGCCAGTAGAGGCCGAACTCGCTGGCTGAGTCGGGACTGATGGGACGCACCAGTACCGGTAGGGAATAGAGACTGGTAGAATATCACAGGGGGATGCACAATGGACCAATATCTGGTCTAAGTGCATGGGGAAACCCACCCTCTCCAATAACAACAACAACAACTATCAATTCACAGCGGTATGTGGACATGATTAAAAACTTTTCCGAACCAGCTCTTGAAGAACTGCATCTAGGAAGTGTCTGGTTCCAACAGGATGGTGCCACGGCCCACACAGCCCGAGCTTCGATGACAGTTTCAAGGGCAAAGTTCCCCAGACAGCTCATCTCACTTTGAGGTGACATCCCGTGGGCAGCACACTCACTTGATCTAATGCCCTGTGATTTTTTTAATGGGGATACCTCAAGGCAGAGGTTTTTAAACATCACCCCACAAACCTGCTTCAGCTGAAGAATGTTATTCGGCAGGAAGCAGCCCAAATTCCGGTGCACATGTTGAAATGTGCAGAGGGGAACTTCAGAAAACGGTTGCATCAGTGCATAGAGAACCGGGGTCACCACCTTCAAGATATTTTGTTTAAAACTACATGATTTAAAACTTTAAAGTATGTTCTTTCATTAGCTAAACATAAATTTTGTCTATCAGCAATAATTTTTCTTTTATTCGCCTTCAAAAAGAGGAAGTTTCTGCGCCCCACCCTGTATTTACATATTTCATTTACAAGTTTGTAATCCTCAAACTCTTTCATCAACTGAATTGTTAATTGTAATGTTTTCTTTGCACAAAGTGCATAAAGTAGCTGCATACTAGGGAATTGTGTCTGTGTGCATGACCCAGCTCAAATGGGTGTCTACAGTAAAAATTTTTGAGCACATGTAATATTGGTATGTCTGTGTACTGGTCTTCAGTTATGCTGTGTGTAGGATTGGGGTTCTCGCATTTGTGGGTTGACTTTCAATGACCTACATGGCATTTTAATCCAGAAGATAGAGTTCTTCAGTTATGATGTAATTTTACATAAAGCTAAAGTCACTCTATATTAGCTTTCTCAAGGATGGCCTGTCATACAAAACAGTAATGAATGGAGTATGATATATCATTACGATATACAGCCTTTATATGAAAGAATTTTTGGTATGGTGAATGATATACAAAGGAAAATAAACTTGTGTTCTGTGCAATGTAATATCTACGGTGGTAGTTCCACAACAACAGTAGATTTGTATCTGTAATAAGTGACTGTCAGAGCCAATGAAAACATCTGCAAAGTATTTATTTACAGTGCTTTTGCAAATCTAAATTAGGTATGGCACTGCAGTAACAGTGATAATTGTGTGATGTGTTACAGGTGCCAGCACTACTTCTGTGAGAAATGTGCACTAGCGCATTATAAGAAATCGACTCGCTGCTACATCTGCAATAATCAGACACATGGAGTGTTTAATCCAGCCAAAAACATTATCTCTAAGATGAAAGGGGACGGATCCACTGTCACTAAATTGGACATTGTTGACCAGATGGCTTCTTCTGGTGGCTCAGAATCTGATTAACCTGACTTTTAAATTGTTGAGAGCCTGCTGCGGCCGGTATTTAAATTGCCCTAATTAATTAACATTGCAGACTTTCAGAAAAAAAAATGCATATTTTCCGTTCTATGTAACATAGAAATATGAACTAAAAACAACCTGAAAGACAGTCAAATTTTCTACATGTACACAAAAGAGTAATTTTTACAAATGAAAATTAACTGTGATTATTTTGTCATGAGATGCAAAATATAATCTTTATTATATATTGTGACATGTTGAGCTATGGATGACACCCCCCCCCCCCCACCCCGANCCCGCCAGCCGAAGTGAGCCGAGCGGAGCTGAAGTTAGCTGAGTCCCAGCATCCTGGTAGCTATGCAACGCGAGTCAATAGTGGAGACGTCACCAAGGGATACCGCGGTTGCTAGGCAGCGCAGGTAAAGAGTGGTTGCGAGAGACGATGGTGGTAACAGCGGTACACAGCGTTACTAGCACGACGGCACCAGACAACAGTGGTGCCTGTTATGTGTCCGTTTTCTGTATTGTCCGAACGAGGCTACATAAGGAGCAGCGAAGGCTATTCATAGTTAGTCCTCGAGCTACCTCCGAGTTAGTTCCGAATCAGTTCGCGAGTTACGAGTTACCAGCATTTACAGTGTAATATTTGTGATACTGCCGATGGCAGTAATTGTCAGATTGTAATTTGGGTGATTGCAAGTGCGAATGTGAAATAAAATTCGCTATATCAAATACGGCGTGAAGTTATTTGTCGCGTTATACACCATGAAATTATGAAATTCCAAAGGACTTACCCATTGTTTTTTCTTCAAACTTGAATCATGGTGATATTGTAAATATAATCACACTATATGCAATAATGTTTTGTTCCGACTGTACACGAGTTTGAACTGCATCACTTCACAGTTTATGATACACTCTGACGCGTGTAGCACTTCTCAAAGCAGTCCACCTCACACAGAGTGACATCACCCTTTTTACAATAGAAGAGCATGCTTCTTTTCTTATTTAGCAAAACACACGATGTCTTTGTTTCCCTTTAGTTGGCCAGTGTTGTGAATGTTTCACCTCCATTCGACTGAGATGGGCCCCAGATAACCTTGGCCTCCCCATGAGAAACGCTACTGACCGTGATATTCATCTTGGGGGAGGGGTGTTTCTAGCAAAATCGAATAAATTATGTTGATTGACAAAGCGACACACTCACCTATTAGTAATACTCGCAAAATAGTGATGCAAAGTAATTATAATACTAGTCAAACAGAATGCTGATACTGAAAGTCGCAGTGGCAAAGATGCCTTTTACTCACTGGGTTTATACCTCTTCCAAGACACAAAATAAAAATGATATACAAAGAAATTATGACAGTCTGGCACTGACTTTTCAACTGATAAAGAATTATTAGACAATCTGACACTGACTTCCTAATTGACAATTCATCACTGAAAACCAATCCTTGAATGCGTCACACTTCCTTGAAGGCTCTGGAAGCACTCATATGCAAGCACCGATGAATATTTCCTCATCAGTTTTCGAAACAAAGCTGCACTGTATTTGGCTGACTAGGTCATAAACAGTCATATCTAAACGTAAATAGTATTGAAACCATTACCATGATAAACGATTTCATTGTTCAGAGCTAAGGAATGAACCACTGACATGATCTTACAGGTTTGTTTTGGTTTCAAACCCAAGGTCAAACTGGTGTTCCTTGGCTCTGGTCCTTGCTGGCTGGCACCTGTCTCATGACTCAGCTAGGTGTTGCCTGGTTACAGCCTTCTAAGAAGTGCTGTTCCTCGTGACCTTACAGCTCAAGGGCTGCATTTCCTATTCGCAGACTTGAGACTACTGCTCTGCCACAGGTCTCCTAGCCAGGGCCCAGGACTTCCACAGATGGGACTGTCTTGGATTGCCTGCCTCCAAACTCGGCCACAGGTTTCAGTTCTGCAAATATAGCCTTGGGATGGACCCCACAGAGAATACCTCTTCTTGCAGTCACCTCGTTACAGTGTTATGTGGCCATTGCAGTGGACCGTGTTGAAAATACAACTTCAGCAGTTCTTCTGGTGTTGTGTAAGCTCGGCCAAGCCACTGCCTAGCAATGGATGTGTTTACAGAGCTGTTCTTAAGCAACAGCTGTCTGTGCTGGCTGTCAGCAGATACGGCAATATTTATAAAAATTGTATGTTTCATTACAAAGTGCCAATTAGCCCAAAGGTGGATCTTCCTCATAGTTTCCAATAATTTGTAACATATCACAGTACAGTGTAGAGAAATATAGCTCATGGTTTTAATTTTGGTTGTACCATTTTTTGTGTGAAATAACTTCATGGTACAGCTGCTCCAGCTGTTCAAGAAGGATCCTGCTCTTATGGATCAGCCTAATAATTTTCCACTGTGTTCACATTTTGGGCCTGTCATGAGCCAGTTAATTCCATTCCTCACCCTCATTCTTCCCCCCCTCCCCCACCATAATAATTCTACACCCATGTCTCAAGTGATTTAACAAAAATTATTTATAGAGTTATCATATTTTCTACACATAATATATCTGCCCAGCTGAACCTTCTTAATTTAATCACCCTAGAAATATTACTAGGAAAGTGAAAATTATGAAGCGCTTTGCTTATAATTTATTGGAGGCAAGCATTTGTCTTTCATTTTTTCTTTTTCTTTAGATGATAGGCTTGAGTCAACAATGAAACAAGTCAGTTAATGACATTAATTGTGCATGAATCCGGGAAGTAATTTCCCCTCATTTGACTTCAGGCTGCTGGAATCATGTGCAATAACTATTTGCAGAGGTATACTCTTCTGTGACAAATTTCTTTTTAGGGTTCTTTTGCGAACAAACTGTGACAGGAAATGATGTATTCATTCATGGTGGCTATCTAAAGGTCATGGAAAAATAAGCAGCATGTTAGTTTGGGCGAAAAAATGGCAAGGATTGTAACCATGTTCTTTGTCTAAACAAATCTGCTTTGGTCAGTTTCAGCTCTAGCTGATGTAAACATCCATCCACATGCTGCAAGTCATAAAATGGGATGTTGAATGTATAAGGGTGGGCCTTCTTGGCCCTTGCACCACGACCTACAGTGATCTCTTGTGCTTAAGTGGATTGTGAAATATTAGTGGAATTTAAATATAAAGGTAAGAAAAATAGGCAAAGTTGTCACTGTACTTAACTAATTAACACCATAAAGATATATGAGGGAGTGGATGTATAGATCCACATTTTATTCACCTTTGCCATGCTGGAGATGAGTGTTAGCTTCACGCCCTGACTGCTTTACCCCCAGGGAAAGAGCCCCCCAGTACCCGTTGAATAGGAGGTTTGGTGGACCCCGGAGTTGATCTGGACAACATGGAGAAAATTCTTGACCCTACCAGGACTCAAACTCCAACCTGTAGCTAGTCACTACTGACTATGCTATCCCGGCTTCAGTTGTATCAAGTAAATTATTGTTTCTTTATGATAAATAAAATTTTAATAAATATTTATATTGCACTTAGCATGAAAGCTCACTTCCATAGTGAGGCTGTATCTATGGAAGCTCGGTGTACTGGTGCTGAAAGGGACTGTAATGACTGCTTTCTAGTTAAGGTGAAAGGGAAAGCCAACTGATGACTACAATGGGGACAACCATTAACATTTGCAGTGGAGCACAGGGGTCTCTGTTCTAAAGAGCATGGCTACTGTTAAGTCATGGCTGGGAAACTGACACTCTGTAAGAAAAGTCATGTGTCCAGCCTATGCAAATTTTAGACTCAGAATGGATTTAAGAACTCGGTTTTGAGGATTTTCACACTACGAGAATTAAAGCAAATTAGATATCTGTGGGAATTCACAGACTTCTGGATCCACAACCAAATAATTTAAGAGTTTGATATTTGAATAATTTTGTGAAGTGAATGAATGAGTGACTAATTTACTTTTTCACTGCTGCCAAGAGCTGTTTCTGTGTAGTAGATGTTGGCAAATAAAATTCATGTCTGCCTTTTTGTTTTATGAATGTTAACCTGTATTTCCTTTCCAAACATGTTCACTCTGAGATAAGTATTAAGTTATTCTGGTGCTGAAAGTGAAGTAAGTTTGGTTTCAAGACTGTTCACTTAAAGATAACTGTGGGCATATGGCAGTATGTACAGTTGCTATTGGATTCGTCTGTGATGATAACAGTGATATAAAGTTTATCGTCAATAAAGTAAATCTTATGGATGTCAAATATTAAAATCATTTCAGATATAGCCTACTGATTCATGACTTCACACAGATTGGAAGCCAACCTTTGATCTAATCCTGGCATTTGCACCACGTTCCACAAATTAGAATGAGATGATATATGAGAAGTGACAAGTACACCTTTCATATTGGGTACCAAAGTCAGATTATGAGTATCAATACATATTCTCAACGACAGAGTGGAGAAGAGAAATCTGCTGGTGTTGATAACGTATTTCTGCACTGCACATTTGCTTAGGTGCTTTAGCCTCTGGCCTACCACTGGCTGCCATGTTCAATTAATCAAGGGTTTTGCCTCATATGTTCAGAGATGGCCAGAACCAATGAATGTTTCATTCACTATGTAACATGTCCATGTCTGGAATTAATGAATGATGTATGTAATATAAAGATCTGAACAAGTCTCATGTAGAATGTATAAGGTGTAAAATTACATAAGCAGCTACTATGACCCTATTTTTGAAACTAAAAAAATATTCCAGAACTGCTAATTTCTGAAAAGAACCCATAATATTCATTCATAAAGGTAAGTCCCTGTGTTAACTAATTAAACATTAAGCCATGAAGGCATATGGGGGAGCAGATGTATAGATCCACATTTCTTGACCTCAGCACTAGCTGGAGGTGAGTGGTCAGTGGTCAGCTTCATGCACCTGCCATATTACCTACAGGTAAGAGCCCCCGGTACCCATTGGATAGGCTGGGTGAGCCCCAGAGCTGGTCTGGATGATGGGGAGAAGAGAAAATTCTTGACCCTACCAGGACTTGAACTCCGACCCCTTAGTCATCCAGCCCATAGCCAGTCACTGTACCGAATACACTAGGACCAGCTCCTTACTATTCATACATTTGTATTTAAAAGTAGATTCTAATGGGAAAAGAGGAGGCAGACCTGTAGTGGTTCATAATCATGCCAAAAGCCACCAAATACTACCTGTGCTCAATTCTGTGAGAGCAACAGCAGTTAGAACTGCATACAGTGATATTAATAGCATATAGACCACTGAAAACATTACAAGAAAATGGCCTGTGTGCATTTTTAGACACTGACGTCAAAGTCTTCTTGGCAGGTGATCTAAAATGCCAAGAATTGTAACTGGAATTTCTACAGAATTAATCAAGTAGCCAATCGATAATTTTTGGCATAGTATAACAAAATAACCACGCAGGATTAACCACTTAGCACATCACCTCCTATCTCCTTTATTAACCAGGAAGTGCTTCAGACAGAATTTATGTGATTTCAAATGGGACCTATCATACATGAAACAAATTATGTTTATTTTTCAAAATTTGAACGAGATATCAACATCAGTTTAATTTTTTTTTTTTTGACAAATATAACTTGATTTTTTACACTCCCACAAAAGTTGGAGAGCAGATCAGTGTGAATCCAAGGACAATAAATTGAGTGCCATTCAGATGACTCAGATTACAGGAGCAATCTGTGCTTCCCGACTAAGCTTTCCCAATTTGGCGAAGCAGTAAGCGTAGCGGTTATTCATAGTAATTGAGTAGCTACGAATCACAAACGGTTCATAGGAATGTCACTCGATCTGTGGTCGTTGGGTTCATGTTGATCTGTTCTACAACTTTCATCGGAGTGAAAAAATTCAAGTTCCATTTAAAAAACATTGATATTCATATCTCGTTAAAGACTTATGATGAAAATAATCTTTTTTATACATCATGTGTCCCACGAGAAACCGCGCAAATTTTATCTGAAGCATTTCCTGTTGAGATGGATAATAAAGGAGTTATTCCAGACAACAGTGTTATGTGGTTCACTCTGTACAGAAGCCGTTCTTCGGAGTCAACACGTTCCTTTTCGAATTCGAAATATCAGATACAAGAAAAAAACTCCGTGGCCTGTGGTTCGCAAGCGAACGCCGCTTGTCGGTGAAGTTAGTGCCAACTTTTGCCTATAGAGCGTGTCACGTGGTCAGCACAACGGATCCCCACTGCCGTTAATCTCGGTTTTTAGATCAGAGCCGCCATTTCCTTGAAATAGCTCCTCAGTTATCCTCACGAGGGTGAGTGGACCTCGTTCCAGACCCACTACTTCTCAGAAAATGTGGTAGGGCCTGGAATCGAACCCGGGACCTCTGGATCTGTAGGCAGAAACTCTGACCACAAGGGCTGTCTAATATCAGACACAGCTCTACCGAAAGTACATCTTATGTTTTTAGGCATACTCTTCAGGTCAAAAGGTGTTTCACTTCAGACTATCAACGCCGGGTATGCGGACCATGGCCCAATCGGGCACCTTAACTTAGCAGACATAGCAGATCAGACAGATCGTGAACCCAAAATTAGACAAAACAGTAGACAGTAAAATTCAAGTTGTAAGAAATCACGATCTGCATGAAATTAAGGAAAATCTGACTATGGCAATACAAGGAGCGACAGAAGCATGTGTCCCAACAAGAACTTATTTCCAGAAAATTAGGGCTGTTGTGAGGCAAAGAAATTACGCCATAAGGCAAATGCAGAGAATACAAAATAATGGAGATGTGTTTTAGCCTATTACGAACAGGCTCCGAAACGAAAGCCGTTCAACCATCACGAAAAAGTTCGGTCAAATCTTTTTACTGTCGTCAACGAAAGATCTTTTGTTTCTTTCACTTTAACCCCCAAATTAATTGTTTCTACATAGCGCCAGATAATAGTCAAATGAGTCAGCGAACTTTTGGGCACACACGTCGGCGCGGGCAAGGGGCATTTCCTATCGCTAGAATTCTTAAAATTCCTTCTTAAAGGATATATCCATGTAGTATAATAAGGACAGCGTGCTGAAGCTGTAAAATGTTGGAACACAAATTGGAAGTTTGTAGTAGCTATCGCTTTGTTGTCGTCCACTTGTACTTACGAATGTCATCTGTTTATTCACTCGTTTAAATTATATTACACATGCGTCCCTCATTCCAAATTTAAGAACATTAAATTTAATTCCAATTTCGTTTAATTTCTAATTACTTCCCCTTGATCTCTCGTTTAAATAATTCAGTGTATAAACCCAAGGAAATGAGCACAATGGAATAATTAAAGCTCTAGGCCGGTTGTCTGGGTTCATTGATCTTATTTGTCTCCATGCCGTGCAGCCATAATTAGATATTCGGGCAATATAACCAACTGGCTTTATTTTAGCAATTGTCAACACAACATCTGACTAGCCAGCATACATAATTTTCATTCTTTCCCTAAATTATAGTTTACTCCTAAGATCCTGGCAGGTCTTTTGCTCGCTTTGTCTAAATCTGTTTTATTATTAGAATCAAGCTATCTGTCTGAGGTGTGTATGATTTGCTAACGTCAGTGAGCAAATTCCAGCACAGTCTAGTTTACCGCACTCTCGATTTCTTGTTAGTGCCAACCAGTCCTTTAGAATTCAAATTTTTTAATCTGGCTTAATGAATGGAAGAGGTAAAATGATCTATATACTGCATACTCTTCTAGATGAGCTTGCATTCCTGCCTGCAAGGAAAAATATGATCGCCTGTCACCCTCTTACATAGCACAACCAGAGAAGCCCTCGCTTCCTCCCAGAGGGAACGAGCAGATTAACAGACACCACGCGCTGCTGGGTAGTCTACCTATTAACATTCGTTTGAAACTAAGAATGTTCCACTTTCCCTGTAACTATGGTTATATCTGACAATCTTGAACCCCAGAATGAGCTTATTAGTCATGAAAATCAAACTTTAAAAAATATTTACTTTTCTTTGTTTGTGAAACTTTGTCTCTTCACCCTTAGGCTGAGGCTTTTTGAGAACAGGGTGTAGAGGACAATACGAGGGATGAAGTGACAGGAGGTCGGATAAAATAACATCGTGAGGAGCTTCACAACTTTTACTCATGGCCAAGTATAATTAGAATGAAGTAAAGGAGGATGGGATTGGCAGGGCATGTTGCACGCATGGGGATACCAGGAATTCTCGTAGGGTTCTGATGTGAAAATCAGAAGCAAAGAGAATATTTGGAAGACCTAAACATAGGTGAGAGGATAATATTAAATTGGATCTTAGAAAAACAGGGTGGGATATTTCTCGTACGTGTGAAGAAAGCCCACGTGTAACTCAAGTGGATGGTGTTACTGACATGTGTTGATGCAGGTGGAAATTGGAACTGAAGGCTGACGGACGAACGTAAATTTTAAGAAAAGAATTAATTATTGATGATTAATGTTAATAATAGCTTCTGTTTAAATGTAGGTGAGTCTGTGTTTTAGAGAAGACGAGTGTTGGAGAGTATTCTGTGTGTGAATGAAGGCGTAAGTAAAGGAAGCATTAATGTAACGTAGGATTGAAGAAGAGAAGGGGCCTATCCCGTAAGAAAACCTGGTGTTACGAGACACACATGTTTAAATGAGACTAAACTAAAGCAGCAACCTGAATTGCGCCCCACGTTATATCTGCTGCGTACTGGCTGTGTAGGGGGCCTTGCTAGCGATCAATGTTTGGAATGGACCGGGCCGCAAGCGAGGAAGGATCTGCTCCACGCGGCAGGATCACTCTCCACGCTTGGTGGCGTTAGGGCAACTCATCAGTGACAGTAGCCTGCTGGAAATACAAGCATGGGTACTGCTAGCAACAGTTCGGTCAAGAACACCTCAAAGTCACCTAAACTTCACAGTGTTTAGATGTTAATTCCACAAATAAACGTATTGCTGTCTTAGAACAATGAATGCTGGAATTTATAATAGCTGAAATTCAGTGATGTAAGGAAATTTTATATTAATGAATCGCGTGAATGGTATCTGGTGTCACCGCTAGATGTAGCACTTGCCATTATAAACAATAGAAAACAGCTACATTGTTGCTCTCTGTGTGAAAACCAGATCTGCTGGCCGGTGAGGCATCTAGCAGACTTCCGGGAGGCCGTGCTAAAGGAAGTTCTAGACAGACAGCGTTAGATTTGCTCCTTAAAGGGCCAGGTAAGTGCCTGAAGGAAATAAAGTGTTATTTGTACTTAATGTTAAGTTAAGTAGGTAAAGTTGTCCGTGCGCTTAATTAATTAATCACCACGCCATGAAGAAGTGTGGAGTGTGGAGGTATAGCTCTACAATTCTTGACCTCGGCAGTAGATGGAGGTGAGTGGTCACCACCGCTCTCCCTGGGAGGAGAGCTTTCGGTACCCATTTTAGAGGAGCTTGGTAGGCTTCAGAGTCGGTTTGGACTCAGGGGAGAAGAGAAAAATCTCTTGGGATGGACATGACAACACAGAATTTAATTTTTTTTTGTTTTTGTTTTATTGCTAGTGGGGTCCCTTGTACTGCGGCCACTTCTGGCCTATTGTACCAGCCCCATGTGATACGTGAGGGTGATTGTGGAGCAATTGGTGGAATGAAGATTGGCAGGGGAAACCGAAGTATTCGGAGAGAACTTGCCCCAGCGCCACTTTGTCCACCACAAATTCCACTTGACCAGACCCGGGATCGAACCCGGGCCGCCTCGGTGGGAAGCCAGCGACTAACCACTTGAGCTATGACGCGTCCTTTTACGAGTATTAGTGCACAGACTATAGACCTACGGTATTTATGACAGTATGACTGCATGTGATTAATTAGAAAGGCTACGAACTGATTGGTCGGTTTTTTAATAAAGTATTTTCATGACTGCCGATCAGTAACTGCGCAGTCAAAGGCACGAAGAGTCTTCGTCCGCTCGAAAACACTGGGGTCGTAGGTTCGAATCCTACTCGAGGCATGGATGTCTGTGTGCGTTTATTCTGTATGTGCTGTCCTGTGTGCAGGTAGCGGCCTTGCAGCGGGCTGATCCCCCGTCCAAGGAGTCGTACTGATTGTGTATAGGATTAAGGAGCTGAAACGCGGCCAGGGCCCAACAAAGGCTGTAGACCCATAGATATATAGATAGATTAGATTAGGTAGATAGAGAAGATTAGATAGGTAGGTAGATAGATTTCTTTGACTGAAAATTTATGTAATATCGAATAGGATTATTGACTGATGCATCCGAAACTATACGGACAGAAGCAGTCGTCGGAAAATGACTAATTAATTAATCAGATAATTGGTATTTAACAGATCGAATCCTCTGAAGTGCAATTCCTGAGATCACTCGCAGGCTATAGAAGAGGAATATAGATATTAGGTCAATTTATTTGTCTTCAAGGTAACTCCTCGACGCGGACCACATAGAAAACACAGTGTTTCTGTTGTTGTGTGCATGTTCGTTTCAGTGGGAACGTATTTACCGAGCCATTGCTAAGAAACGGGTTGCATAACCCAATTGATCTACTGATGCGTGCGTGAGTGTTGCGGGCTTTACCCAGCAACGGGCGCTGTTTACAGTCACCGCTTAGCAACGGGTCTATACTCCACAGTATATAATTAAGTTCATATAAGCCATATGCATGTTAAAACTAATGTATAGTTCCGAAACCGTAGTTTTTTAAATGAAAACATAACATCAGAACTGGCAGAAACACACACATACACTGACGGAAAAGCAACATTGTTGTTTCATCTTACAATCTCCCACAGCTGAGAAGTTGGTCGGGTAGCAGGAATGAGACCCTGTGGTCAACATCACAGCGCTGGCTTTAATATCTATGCCATGAAGACATATGAGGGAGTGGAGTGCAGCTCCACGCATTAGCCTCAGAGTATATATAGGTACATAGGTCTACGCATATGTATATATGAACTGGCCTACATAAACTGCTTATGTTCATGTTAGATTTGAGGTCATGTCACTGATTGCGAAATGTTCTATCTTCTGAGATGTGACGCTGTGTGATCTGGTTACTGACTCACTTTGCTTGTTGCTTGCTTCTCACTTGCTTGTCTTAATCTTCAACCCTGAAGATGAAGTTAGTACGTTCCCCCGAAACAGCGGTAAACTTCTACCTAACTGCATAGCATCAGAGCCCAGAACTCTGTAATGTTCCCATTACACGTGACAGATCGTTATAGAAGTTAGAAGCGATAACAGTGACGAGTCACGTGATGAGACAGGCAGTGGCTCTGGGCTCCTCGCCACGAGTTTCCGAAGGGCTACGGCATATGATAGATCGATAAGGCAGATAATTAGCAATTTAAACGCGATTAAGCCCAAGCGCCAAGTGGTGCAGACACACGGCTTTACAGCATCCAATGTGACTCCAGAGCTGAGCATACTTTTTTCAAAAACCCGGAACTGTCAGTTTTAGCTTTGTTTACTTAACAGAGGGGTTTGAACCAAGCAGAAACAGAAAACTAAATCCTACGAGAACCTGGACAGGAACTTCTAAATGAACATCAGAACTGAGAAGCTGAACCGACAGTTCCTTACGAGCCGGGTCAGACCGAGTACAACTGTACCTTAAACTCAGGCGCATTACAACACGCTCGCAATTTCGCATTCTGTGGGTAAACAGCAACAGACCCCATATCCAGCTGCAAAAGCTGCAATGAAATTCCAATATCTCAGCGCGCTGCCGCCAACACTGTCGGCAATAGCTGATTTGCCAAGAAGAGAGGCAAAGATCCATGGAGGCCCATAGGATTGTGAGACGGAAAGACTTCCGCATTTTTTAGACTACTGTATCACAGATGGCGATGAAGTTGTCAGCCTTACGCGCCGGCCGCCCTTTGTCCCCAGGAAGATTCCTGGTACTCATTTCTGTTAGAGCCTCAGTCGACTTCAGGGCCATAGTGCGGCTGCAAGGATGAGGTCAGTTGAAAAATCCAATGACCTCACAGGGAATCTAACCTGCGGCCTTCCGGCGTATAGCATAGTGAGAAGAGAGGCAAAGTTGAAACGAAACTAACTTTGTTGGCCAGGACGGATATAGAATAAACGTTTTATTAATTGTGGAGTTACAATTCTGTCACATCTCGTGTTCAAATGGTGAGACTGATGCATGAATTAGAAAGGATTTGGAAGAAAATAGTTGTGGCTTACTCGAGACACTGTTTGGGGCTGGAGAGATCGAGGTAAACCACGAGCAGTTTCACTCAGAATAGCAAGGGTCTCGGCCGAGAATTGAGCCTCCCGAATAGAAGTCTAGAACGTTACCGCTACGCTAGCCTGCTCGGTGTGGGGATCTTGGTTGACTATCTTGAAAACATTAATGTGTTCACAGATTATTTCAAGTGTTGCACTGGACATTGGATTTTGATATTGGCTCCTTTTCTGTGTTAAAGAGAGCTAGAAAATAAAATGACTTGTCAGCTGGAACCTAGTGACCGGTAATTCAAGCAACGCATAAGCGTTGTGAGGAATATGACCATTTGCTAGGCGAAGGTTCGGTAAAAACCGCCTGAAAGTTGGAATAGCAAAGAACAAAAACGGAAGTCCATTTGCTAGGCAACGGTTCCCAAAACACACATTCCCTTGACAACGAACTATCCGAGGTGGTGACCTATATTCGGGTCGCCTGGAAATTAAAAGGGTCGTGTGGAGATGGGGTCGAATACCTCCACCGTGACCCTGCGAGTCGTAGGAGGCGACGAAAATGGAAGTCTCAAGTCTGAGACAGTAAAATATGGTCGCGAATCCCAAGGACTCGAACCCGAGAAAGACTGCGCTGGCAAGGACCAGCAGCATATACAAAAGACAGACCCGTCCTCTCGTCAGAGAAGGCGTCCCACAGAAACAACACCGTAACGGTCAAACAGTGGGGTTCGAGACCAAGACTTACTGACTGACCGTCAGACGCAATGTGACTTTGTCCTTGGCTTTGACGTAAGAGAATTCAATGTGTAACAGTGATTCGTTCGGCATTCGTCACAGTGGAAGAGAAGACAATCGTAGTCCAGTAAAGACTGGAGCCATTGATTATAATTGGTTGTAATTGTACAGAAGGACAAATAAATCCAGCCATCCAATCAATTTATCCTGCATGAATTTCCTGTGGTTCCCTAATCCCCTCAACCGACTGCAGGGATAATGCCTTGCAGTAACCACTGCCGTCCAAATCTGTATATAGTGCTCATCTTCCAACGCGTAAGTTATGTTGTTGGAACAGCATCGTTAAACATCATAAAGGCCCGTCCACATTACTCGTGCTCGTGCATCAGAAGCTTACTGCTGCCGGAAAATCAATCTGGAGCTGATATCCGTTGTGAAGAAGTGCGAAGGCTTTGTATGCAAACCAGTTTGGGCGTCCACTGCGTCAGCTCCGGCAGCAGTAAGCTTCTGACGCACGAGCACGAGTAATGTGGACAGGCCTTAAGAACCATTCAGTCATGCCAACAACGCGATGTTTAAAAGAACGACAACTGTTTTGTGGAACAGGCATCACGATTGTTAACTTTGGAGGTGTTTTATGGAATACACAGCAAGAATGTCCGTTCTCGAAAGAATGAAACGAAAGCACTGCTCTGTAAAGGCATAGAGGACGTAGTGTCTAAGATTTTTCCCGTTAGTAAACGAAAAGCGTAAGTAGGTTAGGCGAATTTAATTACTGAGAAAATTAGTAAAACCAGATGGCAAAAAAAAAATCGCACAATATACATAATCTGCAGAATCTGCAGAATCTGCAGTAAATGTATATGTTCAAAAAGTATTAGCTCGTGAATGCGTTATGCCCAGCTGCGTAATTCATATATACGTTTCTTGTTCACTTCGGTATTTTAATTCCTGTATTGGGGTTTTACTCAACTCTGTCTGGTAGAGTTGGGATGATGCCTCCAAAAAAAATATTTGAAGAATAAAATGCAAACATTTAAACTAATAGGCCTAATTGGATTAATTGACAAATACCTAGTGTAAAGTAAGTAAGTAGAGGTATCCCTCTAACAGGCCGTGGAGGCCCATAGCGTTGTGAAATATTGATGGTCCCACATTTTCTAGACAATCGGCTCATAGATGGCGGCAAGGTTGTCAGCCCTACACGCCGGCCTCCCTTTACCCCCAAGAATATTCCTGGTACTCATTTCCGTTAGAGTCTGAGTCGACCCCAGAGCCATACTGCGACTGGAAGGATTAG